GTGATAGTTTACATGGGAGAACTTTAGTTTTACATTCATTCTATCGTATATTGTTTCATTGCCATGGTTACAATCCCCTCCATGCATCATCAACCACCCAAAAGGTATACTCTGCAAGCCTGCCCCCCACTTATCCCCGGTCTTCAACACTTTGTGGGTTCTTAAGGAAGCTATTTTTGTGAACTCTTTTTTGACAAGTGTGATGTGTTACAGTATAAAAAAACTTAAGAATTTTTGCTTAATAAAATAATAATTATGGAGTACTGGTATGGTGCTGTGGGTTAATGTGCCAGACTGCAAAGCCGTTTGAACTGTGAAGTCAGTGGTTCAAGCTCACCAGCTGCTCCTTGGAAACCCTATATAGGGTTGCTATGGGTCAGAATCGACTCGACAGTACTTAAGAACAACAACAAAAAGAAAATAATAATTACATATGTGATAGGTCTCTAAAAGAAACGTGTCTTTGAATTCTGTCTACTTCATGGTGGACTTCTGGTGTGGTCCTGTAGGATCAGCATTGGACTGCGAACCATAAGGTCGGTGGTTCAAACTCACCAGCTCCTCAGAAACCTTATACAAGTTCGCTATGAGTCAGAACTGACCTGATGGCACTTATCAACAACAACAACTTCATGGTGGAGTCCTGGTGTGGCTCTGTGGCGTAAAGCACTGGACCACAAGGTTGGCTAGAACCACAAGGTTGGTGATTCAAACTTACCAGCCACTCCTTGGAAACCCTATACAGGGTCACTATGAGTTAGAACCGACTCAGTGGCACATAACAGCAACAGCTTCATGGTAGTTTTTCTCATTTCTTTTTTAGGTTATGAGTATCAACTGGAATCAGTTTGCATTCTAATAGCACACCACCACAAAGACATGATGAGCAGACCAGCCATGTCATCTAACAAACAAGAAGGATTCTTGTGTTATAATGGGCAAGTCCTTGTGTTCCAGTTGTATAAAGGAGGGTTTTTCAGTGATGAAGCTGCAGAAAACCCTGTATTACGTGTCAGAAGAATGGTATTTGACAAAACTGTAAGAGCATTTGCTCAGAAGACCACTTTAGATTTTAGGATGGAGAAAGGCTACTCAAATTTTAAAATGATTTGGTGTTGCTGTGTGTCAGATTGCAGAACTGGACGTAACCTCCCTTGTGTTCTGATACAAAGTGAAAAGCATAATTTTTTTGAATATTTTCTACTGGTGCTTCCCTGTATCAATAGAGTCCAAAAGCGATTTAGTTTTAGACTAGACTATGAGTTGAAGGATATCTTAGGGGTCGTTTGTGGCCCTTTACTTTTATGGAGACACATTGACACAGTCTTCATGATCTCTTCCAAAACCGGCATAGTTGTTAGTGTACCAGTTAAATTTTCCTCTATTGTATGGACAGGAGAGGTTCAAAACCTAGGTATTGTTTTACTGGGATGCACCCAGACACTATCAAAATCAGACTGTACTATTTGGAATAAGCAATTTTGTGTCTACTCTCTTGAACGTCTAGAAATATTACCTAATACATCCATTCTCCCTCAGGCTTACAGTAGTGTGGTCACTCATGCTTATGTCTCTGCAGCTGAGTTAGTTAACGGCCAGTTAAGAATGTCTCTGATTGCCCTTACTTGCAAGAATCAGCTGATTTCGTTCCAGAATGGTACTCCGCAAAGTGTGTGCCAGCTTCCATTTGCAGATCCTTGTGCAGTTCAATGTGTGGAGACGAGTGGAGACAATTCTCTTTACATTGTATCCTTTCAGTCCAATGATGCTTGTGCTGTTTGGAAAAAGAACTTTCAGGTACAGTACTTATCCTCATGAAGAGTCAATTGATGTAGTCACAGGACTGAGGTCTTCAAACTTTCTTGGGCTACGTAGACTTCACCCTGGTGTCTAGTTATTGAAATTATTTTGTAGGGCTTGCCTTAAAAAAAGAAAAACATATGTTTCTTAAATTTCAGTTTCTCAGCTGATGCTCTCCCATGTAAACTGTCACTCAATTCACAATAAAAATTTATTATAAAAAAAAAAAATTCAGGTTCTCTGACTACTGTCTAATAATTGTTATGCCTGGCCATTTTGAATAAAACCGTTGTCTATAAATACGTAAACAGACATATAACTGTAATCATGTACTTATTTATCTTTTAATAGAATAATTCCCAGTTTGTATTCATTTGATGATAATTACATGTCTATTTTTACTTTACAAGTTGCTGTGGATTCAGTTCTGACTCAGAGCAATCCCATATGTATTAGAGTAGAACTCTTCTCCATGGGGTTTCTGGAAGTAGATCACCAGGCCTTTATTCAGAGGAGCCTTTAAGTGGACTTGGGCCTCCAACCTTTGGGTTGCAGTGTGTTAACTGTTTGCAACACTCAGGGACCCCACATTTTTACTTAAAGTAATATTACTGGTGATTGGACTTCATAACTCTTCACAGAAAACTCAAATCAGTTCAGCTTCTTAAAAAGTTAGATAACGGTCTATTTAAAGTTATTGTTTCAAATCCACAAACTACTCCTCGGAAGCCCTAATCAGGGTCGCTATGAGTTGGGAGTGACTCAAAAGCACAAAGTTTCTGAAGCAAATACAGAAAATTCCTTTAAATGTGTCATTGTCCCTTTGTTGTTGTTGTTAAGTGTCGTAGAGTCGGCTTTGACCCATAGTGACACTGCACAGGGTTTCCGAGAAGCCGCTGGTGAGCTTGAACCACCAATCTTATGGTTCAAACCAACTTTGTAGTCCAGCACACAAATGCACAGCACCACACCAAGACTAAGTTGTCCCTTTGTTGTTGTTATTGTTAGATGCCATTGAGTCGGTACCAACTCATAGTGACCCTATACACAACAGAATGAAACACTGCCCGGTCCTGGGCCAACATCACAATTGTTGCCACACTTGAGCCCACTGATGTTGCCACTTTGCCAGTCCATCTCATTGGGGGTCTTCCTCTTTTTCTCTGACCCTCCACCTTACCAAACATGATAGTCTTCTCCACTGGTGCCTCCTGACAATATTTCCAAAGTATGGGAGACCAAGTCTGGCCATACGTTTACAGCTGTTTTTCTTCATTTTGAGTTGTGCCCCATCAGCAAATAAAAGTCCCGCAGGCTTTATCCATTTGCATCATCACAATCAACTCTACTCTGAGGAGGCAGCTCTTCCCCAGTCGCATTTTGAGTGCTTTCCAACCTGAGGGGCTCATTTTCCCGCAACAAAACCGAACAGTGCTTCTCTGCTGTTCATAAGGTTTTCAGTGACTAAATGTTCGGAAATATTTCATCTTCCTTCTTCCTAGTCTGTCTTTGAAACCTGTCTACCGTGGGTGACCCTGCTGGTATTTAAAATACCCGTATCATGGCTTTCAGAATCATGGCAAGCCACCAGAGTACGACAGACTGACAGACGAAGGGTAGATTGTCCCTTTAGAGACAAGTATTTATTCCTCAAGAGACAGGTTAAATGTTAATTTTTCTAATATCTATATTTAGAGATTTTATTATGTTGTATTTGAAATTCAAAGTTGACCTGTAAGTATATTGTCTCTCCTTTTAATGTAAAGTTTCCACATTGCTTTGAAATGCTCACGGATATTAAGTGGTCAATGTTGTTGTTGTTATGTGCCGTCGAGTCGGTTCTGACCCATAGCGACCCTGTACAGGGTTTCCAAGGGTATAAATCTTTATGGGAGTAGAAAGCCTCATCTTTCTCCCACGGAGCAGCTGGTAGTAAGACAGGTAAAAAGGCACAGAAAATGCATATGGAAATTGTAAGATTGATGAGTATCTCGACCAATAATATTTCTTTGACAGTTATTTTTTTTTGGTCAGCATTGCATCTTCCTGGCTTAAGATATATGTCAGTTCATAAGTGAAGTGATAAAAGATGATTATAAATCAAGATAATCATTATATGTCAGAAATGTCTATTCCAAATGACATATTCAAGTTTAGCATATTCAACAAACAATTGATTTTTTTAATCAGTGCTACTTCAGTAAACCACCACTCATCTGTCAGTTTGTCGTACTGTGGTGACTTGCATGTCGCTGTGATTCTGGAAGCTATGCCACGGGTATTTTAAATACCAGCAGGGTCACCTATGGTGGAGAGATTTCAGCTGAGCTTCCATTGAAAGACAGACTAGGAAGAAGGAGAGATGGACTACTCCTAATATTTAGTTACTAATAAATCCTATGAATAGCAGTGGAACACTGTCAGATAGCACCAGAATACTGCATATTGAAACATGGTGAAGAGCACCCGAATATTATCAGATACAGTGCTTGAAGGTGAGCCTCTCAAGTTGAATGGCACTCAAAATGTGACTGGGAAATATGCCTCTCAAAGTGGGGTTGACCGTGAAGACACAAATGGAGTAATGCCTTCATTTGTGATGGGGCACAACTCAAAATGAAAAGAAACAGCTGTAGACATCCATTAATAATTGGAACATGGAATTTATGAAGTATGAATCTGGGGAAATTGGAAATTGTCAAAAATGAAATGCAATGCATAAACCTTGATATCCTAGGCATTAGTGAGCTGAAATGGACTGGTATTGGCCGTTTTGAATTTGACAATCCCATGGTTTACTAAGCTAGAACTGACAAATTGAGAAGAAATGGTGTCGCATTCACCATCAAAAAGAACATATCAAGATGTCTTGAAATACAACACTGTCTGTGTTGGTATAATATCCATACACCTACAAGGAAGACCAATTAATATAACTATTATTAAAATTTACGCACCAACCACTGAAGCCAATGAAGTTGTAATTGAAGAAGCCTACCAACTTCTTCAGTCTGAACTTGATCAAACATCCAATCAAGGTGTATTGCTAATTACTAGTGACTGGAATGCAAAGGCTGGAAACGAAGAGGAAGGATCAGTAGTTGGAAAATATAGCCTTGGTGATAGAAATGATGGTGGAGATCCCATAATAGAATTTTGCAAGACTAATGACTTCTTCATTGCAAATACCTTTTATAAAAACATGAAAGACGACTATACTCATGGACCTCACTAGATAGAATACACAGAAATCAAATTGAATACATCTGTGGAAAGTTCCATATCATCAGCCAAAACAAGACCAGGGACTGAGCATAGCAGATCATCAATTGCTCATATGCAAGTTTATGCTGAAGCTGAAGAAAATTAAAACAAGTCCACGAGAGCCAAAATATGACCTGAACATACCCTACATGAATTGAGAGATCATCTCATGAACACATTGGATGCATTAGACTCCAGAGAATTAAGACCAGAAGAGTTGTGGGATGACATCAAGAGCATCATACAGGATGCTGATGTCATTAAGAAGACGAGAAATAAAGAAAAGACCAAAATGGATGTCAGAAGAAATTCTGAAATATGCTCTCCAACGTAGACATGCTAAAGTAAATGGAAGAAATGAGTAGGTAAAAGAATGGAACAGAAAATTTCAAAAGGCAGCTCTAACAAAGTCAAATATAAAAACGAAATGTGCAAAGACCTGGAATTAGAAAAGCAGAAGGGAAGAACACGCTCAGCATTCCTTAAGCTGGAAGAACTGAATAAAAAATTCAAGCCTTGACTTCCAATATTGAAGAAATCTATAGGCAAAATACTGAATGATGCAGAACCCATCAAAAGAAGATGGAAGAAATGCACAGTCACTGTACCAAAAAGAAATGGTGGATGATTGACCACTTCAAGAGATTATATGTGATCACGAGTCAGTAGTACTGAAGAAGTCCAACGTGCATTGAAGGCATTGGCAAAGAACAAGGAAGACACTGGGAATTGATGGAATACAAATTGAAACCTTTCAGCAAACTGATGTGGCACTGGAGGCATTCACTGATCTATGCCAAGAAATTTGGAAGACAACTACTTGAACAATTGACTGGAAGAGATCAATATTTATGCCCATTCCAAAGAGAGGTGACCCAATGGAATGTGGAAATAATCGGGCAATATTAATATCCCATGCAAGCAAAATTTTTCTAAAGATAATTTTGAAATAGTTGCAAAGATGCATTGACAAAGAATTTCCAGAGGTTCAAGCCGGTTTCAGAAGTTGACGTGGAATGAGTGATATCATTGCTGATGTCACATGGATGTTGGCTATAAGCAGAGAACACCAGAAAGATGTTTATCTGTGCTTTATTGACTATGCAAACACTTTTGATTGTGTGTATCACGAAAAACTATGGACACCATCGTGGAGAATGAGTTTTCTGATTTAATTGTTCTCATGAGGAACCTGTACATAGACTAAGAGGCAGTTGTTGGCAAACAGAACAAGGGAACACTGAATGGTTTAAAATTAGGAAAGGAGCACACCGGGGTTGTATTCTTTCACCATACCTATTTAATCTGTATGTTGAGCACATAATCCGAGAAGCTAGATTATATGAAGAAAAATGTGGCATCAGGATAGAAGGAAGACTCATTAACAACCTGCTATATGCAGATGTTAACAACCTTTCTTGCTGAAAACAAAGAGGACTTAAAATAATTACTGATGAAACTCAAAGACCACAGCCTTTGATATGGGTTGCATTTCAATGTAAAGAAAGCAAAATCCTCACAACTCAACCAGTAAATAACATCACGATAAGTGGTGAAAAGATTGAAGTTGTCAAAGACTTCATTTTGCTTGAATCAACCATCAACACTCAAGGAAGCAGTAATCAGAAATCAAACAATGTATTGCATTAAGCAAATCTCTTGCAGAAGTCCTCTTTAAAGTGTTGAAGAGCAAAGATGTTAGTTGAGGACTAAGGTGTGCCTGACCCAAGCCATGTCGTTTTCAATAACCTCATATGCATGCGAAAGTTGGACAGTGAATAAGGAAGACCGTAGAAAAATTGGTGGCATTTGAGTTATGGTGTTGGAGGGGGATACTGGAAGTACAGCCAGAGTGCTCCTTGGAATTCAGGATGGCCAGACTTCATCTCTCATGCTTGTGACATATTTTCAGAGGGACCAGTCTCTGGAGAAGGATACCATGTTTGGTAAAGTGAAGAGTTGGAGAAAATGAGGAAGACCCCCAGCGAGATGGATTATTACAGTGGTAGCAGCCACCAACTCAAACGTAGCAACGATTGTAAGGATGGTACAGGACCGGGCAGTGTTTTGTTCTGTTATGCAGAGGATCGCTATGAGTTGGTGTCAACTCAATGCCACCTAACAACAACAGTAGACATTTTTAAGTTATGTGTGTAGCTCACCTCTTATTTCTGTTGGATTGCATTGTTCTGCAACTATAGATTACTAATGTGTCTATATACATGTGTAAAAAAGCTTCATGGTTTTTGTATGCCCAGGCCATTTTTAATACTAATGTCTCTTCACATATGGCTTGATTCTCTTGGGTTGGGAGAATAGTGAATGTTGGATTGCAAATAAGCATCCTGTAGTGGTTACAAATCGGGCTGCAAACCTTAAGGTCAGCAGTTCGAAACTACCAGCTGTTTTGCTGGAGAAAGATGAAGCGATCTGCTCCCGTAAAGATTTACAGCCTCGGAAACCCTGTACAGGGTCGCTATGAGTCAGAACCAACTCCACGGCACATAACAACAACAACAACTGTACAAGTGATGAATCAGTGATTTGAAAACCTTGTAGGGGTGAGATTGATAATTGGTTATGTAGATTGGAAGAGCCTTACTTATCTTCTTGCTCTACTGCAAGGTCACCTCCTGTGTCTTCTAGATGATGTGACTCGCTTCTGGGATTCTGAAGGACAGTTTTAGCTTTTCTGCCTCAGGGTGAAGGGGGATCAATATGGATGCTTTCAACTTTATGGACTTTTAAGAAGTTGTCTTCTATTTTAAACTTGGGCTCTTATGTTCTGGTATGAACGGACAGATTATTCCATTAGGCTAGGAGTGTTGTAGGTGACCCATTTTTAGGATCTTTCCTCTTTTGTGTCCTGGATAATGGCTGTGTTTTTCCCTGACAAAGTTTACAGTATGAAGTTCATCTTGACTCCATTATGGGCCATTCTACTCTGAGAGTGCTTGAAATGGGTACTAGTGCCTTCTGGTTGCCCTAATGCAACTGAATTCCTTGGGCAATTAGTCTGATCATAAGTATATACCAGGGGGGGTGGAGGGAGGCTTCAACAATTTTGTGGGAAAAATGGAATTAAAACATAATGGAATTTTCTCAACTCTTTGAAGCCTCCTGTTATCTACTAAAGTTGATGGGAGTGAGGGTCATCCCTATAACAGGTGTTAAAATTTCCAAAAGATTTAGTCACAAGAATTATTAGAATTTATAACTAGATTGCAATCAATTTTAAATGTAGCAATCAGGAACATATCAGTCATTGATAAAATGTGTTTTTGAGAATGTGAAAATAGTCAATCTGAGTACTTTGCTTGCCATGAAGTTGTTATAACTCCATATCTTTATTTGCATCCCAGTCCTGGTGTGGCGCTACAGGATAATGTGCTACACTACAAGGTCAGTTTGAACTGCAAGGTAGGCTGCTCGGAAACCCTATAAAGGGTCACTATGGGCTGGAACCGACTCGATGGCACTTAGCCACCACTACCACCATCTTTGTTTTATTTAAGTGTTCACACTACCATTTACATTATTTATTTGGGGATAACAAATGACAGCTACATGAAAAAGAAGCACTTAGTTGGTTCTCACCTGATTGTTTCTTCTGTATTCCTTCCTTACCTCTCCATTCCAGGTTGTCACTAAATGGGAAAAAATTATCTCCTTATTGATTGATGACTTTATTGGAACTGGAACTGAACAAGTACTGATACTTTTGAAGAGTCCCTTGAACTCAGATTGGCTGACCACATTTGAAATAACAGATCTCGTCAACGTGAGCTATTCAGTAAGTTCTGTTTAGAAAATGTGAGTGCTTAGATGCTTTCAAGCCACCATTCAAGTATTTGTGATGTCATGCTTGAATTTTTTTAATTTAAAAATATATAGCTTGAATCTTTCACGTATGCAGATTGAATTTCCTTCCCACAAATGTTATTTTGGCTTTGTGTTTTTGATATAAATTTGAAATACAGTATCTTTGATGGTCACTAAAGTGACAGTGATATTGAAAATTAACTTTATTGTTCCTTCTGGAAATCATCTTTTATACAAATAAACATGATAGTATTGGGCTAATGTCATTTAAGAATAAACAAGTGAAATCACACTATTAAAAGAAATAATTAAGTGCCATCGTGTTGGTTCCAACTCATAGTTGTATAGTTGATATCTTGAGATATGGTACACATGGGGAATAATACCCCTGAAGTTTCAGATATATAAAAAACTCTCTGAGCCTCAATTTTTTTTCATTTGTAAAATGAGGATCATTCTTAACTTTCTATAAGCATGGGGTTTTATGACAATCCAGTGAGCTGATACTTTATAAAGCAATATAAAATGTTAGGTGGCAAACAGTAGTCATAATTGTGGGCTTCTTCTTTTATGAGAAGATGATGTCCACATTGTTTGCCTTTCATAAAATAGTGTATGACATGGAAAACTGCCCTTTGAATAAACTGTCACTGTATTTTGTTAATCTTACCACATTTCAGTTAGTTTCATAATTTAAGTTTTTGGTTTGTTTGTTTCATTTATTAGAGTGATACATTGGATTGCAGTGAAGATATTTTACTTGAAGATAGTCAAGAGACTTTTCCTTATTCTTCGGTGATTCCAGGTCTGCAAAGAAGATTGCAAGTTGGTATTTGTTTAGACTTTTGCGTTTTTTTAAAAAAATAGTGCTAGTCCTGGTGTGGCGCTATAGGATAAGCACTAGACTACGAGGTCTGTTTGAACCTCAAGGTTGACAGTTCAAACTCATCAGATGTTCCTTGGAGACTCTCTAAAGGGTTGCTATGAGTCGGAATCTATTCCATGGCACTTAACAACAACAACAGCAGCAGTCTAAATAAGGTAGTACAATGACTCCATAGGATAAGCACTGAGCGCAAACCGCAAGGTCAGTGGTTCCAGCCCACCAGTCCCTCTATGGGAGAAAGATGAGGCTTTCTGCTCATGCTAAAGATTTAAAGCCTTGGAAACTCAATACAGGGTTGCTATGAGTCAAAACTGACTCCACGGCACTTAACACCAACAATTCTAAATAAGGAGTCCTGGTGTGGTACTGTAGGATATGCACTGGACTGCTAACCAACCACAAGGTCAGCAGGTCAACCCCACCAGCCGCATCTTGAAGACCCTTTACAGGTCACTATGAATTAGAACCAACTTGGTGACATTTAGCAACAACATTCTAAATAAAGTAAATAATATTGAAAGAAAAGTCCTTTAAGTATAAGCAACTCAATAATTAGAAAAAACAATGGTATTTTAAAATGTTGTTTTTTTGTATGGCACTGTATGATCAGTACTAGACGGTGAATCACAAGACTGGTGGTTCAAACCTACCAGCTTCTCGGAAACCCTGTACAGGGTCACTATGAGTCAGAACTAACTTGATGACACTTAACAAGATGATATTAATTACAAATGTTTCATCTAAAAATTATGTTTTTTTAGTATGATTTTATAAATTTAATAAGCCTCATAAGACACAAGAAACTCCGTTTTGGAAAGAATTCTTTCTGGTCTGCAGAATCTAGATACCATGGATTTTTTATTAGACAGCAATATGATGAATCATAAACATTTCAAAGATGAACAGTTAAACTCTCAAATTTTCCATAAAACAACTTCCAAAACACAGTTTTTGAGGTTTTCTAAAACCATGACAGTAATGCACATTCATTGTAAAATATTCAGACTGTACAAAGAAATATATTGGAGTCCTGGTGTGGTACTGTAAGATAAGCGCTCAACCACTAGGTTGGTTTGAATTGCAAAGTCAGCAGTTCAAATCCACCAGTTGTTCCTCAGAAACCCTATACAGGGTCATGATGAGTCGAAACTGATTCAACAGCACTTAATAATAACTGTTTAGTGATGTTTATTTGAGCAGCAGAAGTTTTACATTTTTAGATATTCACATTGCTATCAATCAGAGATAGGATAAATATTTACTTATATTTCTCCCAAATACGTTTTTTATAATTCCTGCTTTTTATTATTAGATTACATAGACATTAAATTATGTTTTAATAGTTATTATTAGAATGCATGTAACGTGCACTGAAATATTGAAAACTGAGCTAACGATTGCCTTGGATTCTACTACTAAGATATATAACCAACTTTAACATTTTGGCATGAATATTCTTACATATTTGTGGATATATGCAAATTTGCATGACCATGTAATTATATGATGCATTGTCTTTCATAACTTTTCTTTTTTATATGTAGAATTTATCAAAAATATAGAAACAAAAATACATATATTAGTACAATGATTATACCTGTAGTCCCTGTGTGGTTCCAGTCAGCATTTTTTATTACACGTGCTTCTACATGTATAATGTTATTGTTAGTTGCCATTGCATCAATTCTGACTCATGGTGATCCTATGTGTACAGTGGAATTGCTTCAGCGGGTATTCGAACCTGTGACCTTTCAGTAACAGAACGCCAGACCTGTCTCCCAAGGCTCCTCTAAGTGGGTTCAAACTATAAACTTTTTAGCTCGTAGTCAAGCAAATAGCTGTTTGTAGTGCGCAGGGATAATAAAAAGAACAGAAAGGCCAAGTTTAGTGTCATGCATCGTAGTGCATTCCTGTTTTTAGTTTTGGGTTTGTGGAAAGGAGAAGACAAACATTTCATAAGATAGAGCCGGTAAAGTTCTTGAATGCGAAACAGTCTGTTGGCTATTCAAATGGGGACTGAGGATCGCAGAAAGGAGAATGAAATTTACTTTTATATTGGTTCGCTTTTTTACCACTTGTTTTCATCCTTTTATAGTAAGACTTTGCGACCTAGATCGTTTAAGTAGTCTAATGATCCAGAGCCTCAGCTTGGAGCAGGGGACATGATGAAGAGAAGAAGGAAGGGAGAACCCAGGCGCCATTTCTGAGAGTGCCCTTTTCATCTGCTCACATCTTCCTTTCTTTCACTACCTACTCCTCCTATAGCCACAGATTGGGCTGTGTGCCTCTTAGGGGTACAACACCCTTCCTCCAAGTCATGAGTTACTCGGTGAATGGGTGATGGAAGGTGAAGAACATATGGTACTGAACTAGGTCAACGTATGACATTGTGCAATGTAGGTGAGGCATGCAGCTAATCTAGTCCTTACCGTCCAACTTCTATTCATTGATAACAAGAAAAAGAATTCACCGGTTCTTTCCCCCAAAACAATATAATTTCCAAAAGGAAATGCACTTTGCTTTTTATATATTGAAAAACCTGTTATATTAAAAACTTGATTAATGCTTATACAGTCCTATGTTTTTTTCAAAAACGAAAGTGCTTCCATTACTTCAGTGACATTGTTCTTTTTAGATTGGCAGCAGCTAAAATTTATGTTATGAAGGTTGTTTCTTGAATGCTGAAATCTATTTATGTGGCGTCTTAAAAAGAATGGATTGCTCAGTGCCCAGTTCAGAGCAAGTTCTTCTCCTCCCCTCCCCCAGCAATTAAGAGCCCCCTGAGTCCTGAGGTTATTAGCATAAAAATTATGAATCTGGGGTCTTTTATGTATCATCTTTACAATCTTTCTCTAAGGAGGACTGCGAATAGAGGGTTTTAAACAGAGCCTTTCTAGTCATGATATGCCTCTGTTTTTGTGGATGCTTTGTTTTCTGAAGCAGAAGGTATTTCGGGAACATGTAAAGCAGTTTTCCTACAGTGGTGGGAGTGTTTGTAGGCCTTGATTTTAGTCATGTTGACGCCTAGTTACTTAGTAACTGATTAAGCTGATATTATAATGCACTGGCATTCTCCTTTCACCATGTGTACTCTCTCAGGGATTGGTTATATTATTTCTTTTTAAAAGAAAATTGCTTTAATTTTTTTCTTTTTTGAGAACTGTTGTTATTAAGTGTTGTAGAGTGGCTGGTGGGTTTGAATTGCCAGCCTTGAGTTTGACGATCCAGTGCTTATCCTACAGTGCCACACCAGGCAACTAGAGACTTAAAATTTAGAAGTAAAACCGTTTTCTCTGAGAATTATTCTCTGCTTCTCTCAAGAACAGTGAATTGCTAAACCACAGTTCGAGAATATACTTCATGAATGAGTGGTCTGACCCTGTCATTTGAGACAGTCTCTGGCGACTGTTTTTCTTTCTAATTTGCAGATTGGCTTGGCTTCTGTTCAGGATCTACAGAAACATCTCTTGCTAAAGGAAAAGGTGATTTCAAAATCTTGCAGAGCTTTAATAAACCTGGTTCAAGGGGAGACTGGTACAGCTGCAAGTGCAGAGGAGGTACGATTCATCATCTGACCACTTTATCCTTTGATGAGTTGATTTAAATGGGGATATATGAGAAAATGCTGCTCAGAGGATAAAGAAGAAAATTGGCAGGGATGATAATTTATGATATAAATTATGACCTTGTATAGTATTTGATTAAAGAGCCAGTATTTTACCAATTTACAAATGAGTCTCTTAAGATATTAAAGTCTTGGATCTCAAGAATCATGGGGAAAATAAGTCCTTTAGTCTAAAATATATATATATATTTAACTGTTGAGACTTTTTAATTTGCATGGTTGGAATAGAAATTAACCTCTAACTGAATGTTCTGTTTTCTGGCTTCTTAAACAGAGCATACTGAGCAATACTTGGTACTGATGATGATGTAATGTCATAATTTGTGTATTATTTTTTAGTCTGTTGTACCATTCATTTCGAAGCCTCTTTATTCTTATAGTAAATGTCCCCACATTGTTATACTTCCTTAGTCCTGATCACTCTTTTTCATTAGGACTGAGCGTCTCTTCAGGTACCTTCCAGTTACTTAAGAACTTTCAGCAATGTAGAAAGTTAGCAAAAACTGTTTAGACTATTAAAAGTAGCATCTACATACATGAGTAAGGAGCTCTGGTGATACAACAGTTAGCACTTGGCTGCTAACCAAAAGGTCAGCGGTCTGAATACACTACAAGGTTGTCAGCGTTGACTCAACACGCACCAGGTGTTTATGGTTGAACGTACATCCGTAGTTCCATTCAGAGGAAGACAGCACTGCAACATTCAGAGTGAACCCCCCAAAGCTGGAGCATTTTATTCTGTCAAGTCCCTCTCGTTCTCAGCTCTGACTTCCTTCTAGATTGGCCTGTTAACGATCTAAGCCTCATGCTTGTATTTAAGTCTAGCAGTGTGAGGACATGGGTCCGAAACATGATTCTCTTTCTGTAAAAACCATTACAAAAGGACAGCATGTTGCATTTATACATTACCCTTCTCATCTGCTGGGAAACCTCACAACAGTCATTCTAGAAGTCTTCAACTTTTCCTTCTTCCCTTACCTCACTCCAACAGTCTGTCCGCTGTTAGAAAGGAGAGGGCAAGTTTACAAGTTAATGGATTGGAGATACTTTGTGCAGAGCGCCATTTTGAAAGCAATCCTGGCAAGTAGTAAAAATTTCCCCAGGTTTCAGATGAGTAGCTGGCCTCAGCTCACACAGCCACTAACAGAAATGTCAGAATCCTAGAACATGTGTAGTCCACTATACTGCAAGCATCCATACGAGGGGGCATCAAAAGTTTGTGGGAAAATGGGGTTAAAAGAGAATGGAATTTTTTCATGAACTTATTGAAACTCCCTTGTATATATACTGTTCCCTAATAGTTAGCACATAGAGAGGGAAGGAGTATAGCAGAATAGTTAAGATAGAACCTGGGCTCTAGAACTGGTCTGCCTCAGTTCTAATCCAATTTCTGCCACTTGTTATCTGTGTGACCATAGGCAATTACCTCACCACTCTGTGCCTCATTTTCCTCATCTGTAAAATGTGGATAGTAGTAGTACTGACCTCACCAGCTGCTCCTCGGAAACCCTATACAGGGTCGCTATGGGTTGGAACCAACTCAACAGCACTTAACAACAACAACAACAATAGTACTGACTTAGAGTTATTATAAATAACAGAACAGTGGTGAGCGCGTAGTGAGTACTCAGTAATTGTTGCATTATTATTACTACTATTTTTTAAATTATTATAAATCATGTATGGAAATGAGTGAGTCTGTCCTGGACTTTAAGACTAAAATTTTAGCAGTAATCTAAAAGCAGTTCAGTGATAGTTTCATTGGTTTTATTAATGTAGAAGTTCACAGTTATAGGCTTAGCGTAAGTTGCTAGTAAAACTTGATTCTACTGTTTTTTAAGAGTTTTTTTGTTCAAGATACCTAGGGTTATTTATTGTCATAATAAAACATCTATACTCCCAAGTTTTACTGATCTATACAGCCTTCGGTGTGGATTACATCTCAATGTCAAGAAAACAAAAATCCTCACGTCTGGACCAATAAACAACATTCTTATCAACGGAGAAAAGATTAAAGTTGTCAAGGACTTCATTCTTGGATCAACCATCAACACTCACAGAAGCAGCAGTTGAGAAATCAGACAACATATTGCATTAGGCAAATCTGCTGCACAAGACCTTTTTCAAGTGTTGAAGAGCAAAGATGTCAGCTTGAGGGCTAAGCCGTGGTATTTTCAGTAACCTCATATGCATGTGAAAGCTGGACAGTGAATAAGGAAGACCATAGAAAAATTGATGCTTTTGAGTTATGGTGTCAGAGGAGAATATTGAAAGTGCCATGAGCTGCCAAAAGAACCAATAGATCCATTTTGGAAGAAGTGCAGCTAGAGTGCTCCTGGGAGGCCAAGATGGCCAAACTTCATATCTCATGCTTCGGACATATTGTCAGGAGGGACCAGTCGCTGGAGAAGGATATCATGTTTCGTAAGGTGGAGGGTCAGAGAAAAAGAGGAAGACCCCCAACGAGATGGATTGGCCAGATGGCAGCATCGATGGACTCAAGCATGGCAATAGTAGTGAGATTGGCCCAGGATCGGGCAGTGTTTCTTTCTGCTGTGCATAAGGTTGCTATGGGTCATTACTGACTCGACGGCACCTAACAACAACAACTACTCCCAAGTTTACATCCCTGCTGGCTCTGTGTTGGCCATCCCATCTTGTTTTCAATCAGGCCTTGCTTTGTGATCTGAGTAGATAATTTTCATAAAGTATATATGTCTTAAAAGTTGTACTTTAGCCAATTATGTGTAATATGTAATATATTACATGCATTCGACTTTACTTTTAAATGTCTAGGCCAAAAGGCCTGCCCAAAAGCTGATTTGTGTTTTTTCCTTAGGTTTTCATTCAGTGCGTGTTTTGTAATCAGCTATTTAAACATGTTTTCCTATAAGGACCACCTTTTTCCTCTTTGTGGTGATAAAGAAAACCCTGCGCACACCTTTGATGAAAAGTTATCCAACAATTGTAAAGATTCTGAGCATCCAGTCGAGAAGCTGTGGTATCGGATAATGGATGATAGCTTGGTTGTGGGAGTGGAAACCACATCTTCTTTACAATTGTAAGTAAATGTCTCGACACTCTGGGGCAGCACTGGCCAGTGGAACTGAAACACAAATCACATAGGCCTCCTAATATGGAGTCCTGAGTGGTGCAAATGACTGAATTGAAAGGTTGAGCGGTTCAAATCCATCCAGAGGAGCCTCGGAAGAAAGGCCTAGCAATCTGCTTGTGAAAACTCACAGCCTCAGAAGTCTATGGAGCACAGAGGGAGTCACCGTGACTTGGAATCAACTTGATGGCAACTGCTTTGATTTCTTCGTTTGTTTAGTGGTTTAATAACCATATCAAAAATGTTAGTAGAAACAGGTGAAATGAATTGATTTTAACCAATTTTTTAAAAATCCACTTTAATACTTTTAATTTAACCCAATATATCCCAAACATGATCATTTCAACATGAAATCAATATAAAACATTATTCATGAAATATTTTACATTATTTTTTTCAAACTAAGTTTGAAATGTTTGGTGTGTATTTTCCATGTACAGCACATCTTAGTGTGGCCCAGCCACATCTGTAGGGTTCAGTAGCTAGTGGCTTCAGCATTGGCCAGCACAGCTGTAGCAGTATCCATGTTACACAGATGTTGTTGAGTTGATCATTTGAGAAGCGTAGGGCTCTGGAGTCACTGGACATTGTCAGGTCTAGTTCTTACAGCTTCAAAGAAGAGATCATTAAACAACACACAAACTCCTCACCAGAATGTTTAGAATATAGACGTATTTAGAGACTACTGACTGAAGTAGAAAGGTGAACATTTAAATGAAGTCTTTCCTTGTAATAAGAGAACAATTTTGAGAACTAATACTTGTCTCTTTGCAACAGTTAAAAACATTGGCAAGTGATGTCTATGCTGTATCTAGTACAGCACGGAAGTAAGGATTTGCAGCACACAGGATAATTCCATCAAATCAGAAGTCATCACGTCACATCACAGGGGTGATTACATCATATTAGACCTCAGCGTCAAGGTGATAACTGCCTAGCCTCGGAGAATCCTGGTCCAGACAAGTTGACACAAAACCTTAGCCATCACAGTTCTGTAGACTGGATTTTGCTGAGTTCATCTCATGATTTTGTTTAACCTGTCTCGTTTATTTCCTCTAAATTAGTATTAGATTTAGAAGTGAGATCAGATTAATATTTGACTTTCTTTTAGCAAGATTACTCAGTAGATAGTGTTGCATTCTTTCATCATGAGGAATCTAAGGTCTCATTACTTTCCTTTTGTGATAGTAGCAGCTACTGGTGAGCATTGTCTAGTTCTGTTGTTTCATTGACTCAAACCCAACCGACTGCCATCCACTCAATTCTGAATCAAGGTGATAAGAAACTACTCCTCATCAATTACTCAGTTACTGTTGATTACAGCTTGTAATTTAGAAACCAGAATCTGCACGCAAGAGAAGCTCCTTGTTCCTGAGTGTGGTTATTTTTTTTTGCGGGGCATAGGTAAGAAATGTGTCTTTTTTTTTTTTTTTTTTTTTTAAGAGATAAAATACAGCACGAGTCCATACAGATACTTCCAATTCAGACTCAGACCGTCAAGGTTTTTACTTACCCTCACCAATCTTCTATCTATCTCCATTCTCCCATACCGAAAATTCTCAGTTTCACCAAAATAATTATGCATTTACTTTATTCCATAATATATATGTAATATTCCCAGAATCACAGTTAGTGCAGATTGCTTCAGATTTTTTTGAGGATTGTTTTTCATTATTAGTCTGTAGCTCAGTAAGTGTGTACTGTGAACTTCCTGGGTGTTAAAATCCTCTCTTTGTTGTTTTACCTCCATTCTCCCCGAGTTTTGCTTGATAAACTTTGGCAATAGACTAAAACAAACCTGGATTCTACTTGCAAATGTCTAGAAATGTAAATCTGGAAAGAACTGCTATGGGCTAAAGGATATTTTGTATTCAAAAACAGATTTTATTGAAGTCATTTGCAAGATTATAAAATGTAGTTTTCATTCATTAGTATTTGCATTCAAAATCCTTACCAAAATGAAGTTCATTATTTTTTTAAATAATGAGATTTTTTTTTCTTGTTCCAGAAGAGAAAAACAACCTACCTCAAGAGTAAAATCTGTATATTTTACCATCTTATATCTTTAAAATGTCATGTGTTTGTTTAAGTTTAAATTGGAAAAGTGACTTCCTGTAGTCCAATGTAGTACAAAGTTTTTGCTTGCCTATTTTAAGAGAAGTGCTACTATAGGATCTTTAAGACTGTGATATCGGTTACTATTAATTTTCTGGTAATATTTTATGTTTGAATTGTTTCCTAGGAAACAAAAAAATGAAAATAGATGTTTTGTTTGCATGGCATTTAATCATCTGTTTAACTTTAAAGGATGAACTTACAGACATACTATAACCAACCTCTGTGGATTGCTTCCAGACCTTTGAATGATGTGACTTTATCATTGTTACTGGATCAAACTTGTGACTCCAACTTTCTGCTTAAGTGTCAAAATGAGGTGATGAAGTTGAGTATGGATTCTTTACCAGCCTCACATTTTATACCCTATGAAAGAAGAGCAGCCAAAAGGATCAAGTTGTCCCTTCATAGTGAAGAAGACAAAAGCTGTGTTTGTCTACAACCATCGAAGAAAGATTGTATACAGACAATTATTGCTAGAACATCTCTCCCACCACTTTTAGCACTCAAAAACTTCTGTTGCATTGTGCTAATACAAATTCGTCAGAGAAAAAATAACTCTTTTGAGGATCATTATATTCCTTGTGGCAGACTCTTTATAAGTCTGGAAGATGTTTCAAAGGGGAAATACCTAGTGACATTTCCACAGAATGAATCTATAGGTATTTTTTGTTGGTTCTTTTAAATCCTATACTTAATTGAATTTGAAACATGTTTTAAAAACTCTTTATTTAATAATGGACAGAGTTTAGAGCATTTGACTTTTTTTTTTATAGAACACCAAGAAGATCTTTTTGCACTTCTCGCAGCATTACACAAATTCTGTTTTCAAATCGCATCATCTGACCATATCCTGACTTCATTGAAGACATGGTTCTTAGAATATGTGCAGTGTGAAGTGATCAGACAATTTCCAGCAATTTGGTTTTGTAAAAGACCAGGAAGTTTTTATGGGACATTGTTCAAGTGGAATCACAAAACATCATCTGAAGGAGTTTTGATTGTATATTGCAGGTAATTCACATCAGATTGAAATAGGTCCAGAGAACTTGGTGTGCATAGGTGTGGTCCAACATGACCTCCATGGTAGAGTTCCGTATTACTGTGGGAAATGCCTTCATTGTCTTCTGTGACACAAATTGACAAGTTTCCTTATTTAGAAACTAAAGATCTGTGTTAATTTTGTTTCCTCTGAGTTGCTGCTGCCGCCTTTTTTTTCTTGAGGTTGGTTCAGATAACCCAGAGCCATTGAGTCAATTCTGGCTCATAATGACCCTGTATAGGGTTTTTGAGGCTGTAAATTTTTACAGAACAGAAAGACTCATCTTTCTCCTGCAGAGTGACTAGTTGGTTTGCACTGCCAGCCTTGCAGTTAGTAGTCCAATCCATACAGGGCCACCAGGGCTCCTTCTTGAGGTTGATTGTTGTTGTTCAGTGCTGTCGAGTTGGGTCTGACTTACAGAGACCCTGTATAGGGTTTCCAAAGGAGCGACTGGTGAGTTTGAACTGACAACCTTGCAGTCCAGCACATTAACATGCAGCACCACACCAGAACTCTTATCTGACTCATGTTGTTGTTGTTGTTGTTGTTGTTATATGCCGTGGAATCGGAACCGACTCATAGCGACCCTGTACAGGGTTTCCGAGGGTGTAAATCTTTACGGGAGTAGAAAGCCTCATCTTTCTCCCGCGGAGCAGCTGGTAGTTTCGAACTGCTGACCTTGCGGTTCACAGCCCGAGTCGTAACCACTACGCTATCTGACGCATAGCAACCCTATATAGAGTTCCTGAGGGGTAACTGGTGGGTTTTAACCACCTCCGACCTTGAAGTTAGCAGTTTAGTGCTAATCCTTAGTGCCACACCAGGATTCCTTGAGGTTGATTGTTGTTGGTAAGTGTTGTTGAGTCACTTCCGACTCGTATTGACCCTGTATAGGCTTTCTGAAGCTTTAAATCTTTCCAGGAGCAGAAAGCATCATCTTTCTCATGTGGAGTGGCCGGTGGGCTTGAACTGCCAACCTATGGTTTGCCATCCAGTGTTTATCTTATAGAGCCACTGTGCTCCCTGAGGTTGATTGTTGTTAATTGCCGTTTAGTCTGTTCCAACTCAGTGCCCCTATATAGGGTTTCTTAGGAGCGGCTGGTGAGTTTGAACTGCCGACCTTGCAGTTCAAACCGACCTTGTGGTCCAGTGCATTATCCTGCAGTGCCACACCAGGACTTCTGAGGTTGATTAGGACCTAATAATCATTCTATAATTTTCACTTATTTGCACCCAGAATGAAAATTTGAAAATATTATATTATTTATTACTCAGAAGAGCGACCTGATTAAAATTAAGTGGCTTGGTATATACTCTGTGTATTTTATTGCTACACTCTGAATTTTACCCATGATCACATGCATTATTGGTTCTGTTTGTTGCTCGAGTGTTTTGAAATGAATATTAATTGATTATTACAACATATTGCACATGACTGGTTACTGCTGTCCTGATATTTATGATCCTGTGTTTGTTTTTATTCCAGGAATCAAACTGTTTTGTTCCAGTGCCTTCATTATCTCATCAGAGTTCTCCCCATAAACTGTGACTTCAAGAAACTAAAATTAGGAAGTGAGGATTTCCTAATTGATCATTTGGCTTTAGCCTTGGAGAAGGAACTGGGTACCCTTACTAGTTCTCTTTCTTCTGCCTTAGCTGAGGTTGAAAGCAACTTTGTACAGCAGTGTGAAGCAAGCAAAAATAAGAGCAGTGTCATTGTGGCTTCTTTATCAGACAGAGAGGAAAAAATACATCTGTCCAGAAATGAACTTCAGAGAGAAAAGGAGCTAATCATGTTGAGAATGAACCTAAAAGTGAGTAGTGGTCTTTACAGAGAAATTCCTTTGAAAGTGACTGAGGTTCAGCTGAAATCAGACCTTGCAGCGCAGAAACTGTCCAGTCTGTATTTAGAATCTAAATGTGATTATACGAGTATTTCAGAATAGTATTTTCACTTCTAGAAAATCATGTGGGTTCCACTTGTTTACATTTGACATTGTATGCCTCCTTTGTAAAAATAAACATGGAGGCAATTTGTTCAAAATTTACATCAGTGCTTCTATTTAGGTTGTTAGTTGTGTGTATACATGCAGGTAGCATCTATTGGTTTCCAGTGAGTAGAGGCCAGGAATACTGCTAAAACTCGTACTATGTACAGTACAACCTATCACAGTAAAGAAGCACCCACCCAAATTATCAATAGTGCCAAGACTGACAGACGTTTATAACAGTTTTTTTTTTTTTGTCTAAATCTTTAACACACACACACAAAATTAAGTAGCCTTTTTTTTTTTTTCATTCTCTTGTTTAGAAAAACCTAGCATATGAAAATCAACTTTAAACAGATACATTAAGCAAGGTTGAGAGGATTTACGATAGTTTCTATAAACATCAAGCTTCTATGGATATTTAAATGGCAGAATGTCTGGGGGAGACCATTAAAATAAAAGTGTTTGAGACTGTTGTTAATTTAAATTTTATTCGAAAGCTTCTCTGAAATCATGTCAGTATATGAATGTGATTCTTTGAAAAATGTATGGCATTTCTCTGAAAATCATATCTCTTTCAAAGTGAAATATGCCTAAGCATATTTCACAGGTCATGCTTTCTTTCTTTCTATTTTTTTAAAGTTGAAAATGCCTTTAAGCCATCTGAAATTCCAACTGTAGGCAAAGCTACAATATAAAATTGTAACTAAAATAACTTTTAAAGAGTATGGAGCCCCTTAGGAATGGAGAGATTGAAATGTAAGTGAAAATCCCACTTCAGTTAAGGAGTGATTTATAAAGGTTCCAATGAGGGACATTTCAAAGAGATAAAACATTCAACATAGTCCTTTTTCTTTTTTTTTTTTTTAAATAAGAATTCGGGAGTAATAAGAGAGTGTCAGGGAGAGAGAAAAAGACACACAAGGAGGTGGGCCTAAAGAAACCATCCTAATCCTCTTTCCTCTCAAATCCTAAGGAAGATTATTATTGTTAAGCACCAATGAGTCAGTTCTGACCCATACAACCCTGTATAGGGTTTCCAAGTAGCAACTGCTGAGCTTGAACCACTGACCTTGTGGTTCAAACTGACTTTGTAGTTAACATTAACCCATAGCGCCACATAGAAGTGTCTTTTCATCTAGAGGCAGTTGGACAAAATACACATGAAGTGCTAATTCTGCCACTCCTTAGATGTGCCTGTTCCTAATGACCTGTTGCTACAACTGCTTCAGAATATAGGCTTCTCTCCACTACAATATACGACTTCCTTTTTGATAATCCATTGTAAATTGCAAAAGAACTCTATAACTCTATCTCTGTAAAATATCAATGGAAACTCTTAGATTTTCTCTCAATGTAAATGCAATAAATACAGGATTAATTTTGGAAACCTAGAAATAATGTTGTTCTTCTGGACAATGAATCAGGAAGACCGAAAAAGAATTTATGCATTTGAGTTATAATGTGGGCAAAAAATACTGAATATATTATGGACTTCCAGGAAAAGGAACAAATCTGCCTTGGAAGAAGTACAGCCAGAATGCTCTTAAGAAGCATGGATGGTGAGAGTTTGTCCCACGTACTTGGTTGTCAGGAGGGACTGGTCTCTGGAGGAGAACATCACGCTTGATAAAGTAGAGGGCCAGCAAAAATAGGAAGACCTTCAATAAGATGGATTGATACAGCAGCAGCAACAGTGAGCTCAAACATAGCAGCAATTGTGAGCGTGGCTCAGGACTGGACAGGGCTCCATTCAGTTGTACAGAGGTTGCTATGAGTTAAAAGCAATTCAGTAGTACTTAATGACAGAAACAGTAGGAGTCATGTACTATGTATTGAAATTGTCCAAGACATATTTTAGAAGAAAAACCAGTTATAAATTAGAAAAATTAAATTGTATAATGGAGATGGTTACAAGAAAAAATAAGAATGAATTTTAATAGTTTATCGGTAAGAAATTAAATTAGAATATTAAACACTAGCACATTTTTCATTTAGAAATGTATATATCAAAAGATATTAATTTATATGTGCCTAGAACATTGAATGATTTAAAATTAGGAAAGATGTGTGATAGGGTTATATTCTTTCACCATACTTATTCAACCTGTATGCTGAACAAATTATCCGAGAAACTGGGTTATATGAAGAAAAACGTGGCATTAGGATTGGAGGTAGACTCATTAACAACCTGTGATATGCAAATGATACAACCTTGCTTGTTGAAAGTGAAGAGGACTTGAAATACTTTTAATAAAGATCAAAGAGCACAGCCTTCCATATGGATTGCATCTCAATGTAAAGGAAACAGAAATCCTCACGACTGGACCAATAAACAACATTCTTATCAACGGAGAAAAGATTGAAGTTGTCAAGGACTTCATTCTTCTTGGATCAACTATCAACACTCACGGAAGCAGCAGTCAAGAAATCAAATGACGTATTGCATTAGGCAAATCTGCTGCATGAGACCTTTTTAAAGTGTTGAAGAGCAAAGATGTCAGCTTGAGGACTAAGGTGTGCCTGACCCAAGCCATGGTATTTTCAATAACTTCATATGCATCCAAAAGCTGGACAGTGAATAAATGGTAAGGTGGATGGTCAGAGAAAAAAGAGGAAGACCCCCCAATGAGATGGATTGGCCAAGTGGCAGCATCAATGGACTTAAGCATGGCAACAGTAATGAGGTTGGCACAGGATCAGGCAGTGTTTTGTTCTACTGTGCATAAGGTCATTATGGGTCGGTACCGACTTGATGGCACCTAACAACATCAACAACAAGGTATTTGCAGCTATTCTTTTTTAGTTGCTGTTCTTTTGTTGTAAATACAGCTTTCACACAACTTTTGGCAACTCAAGTGTTTACAGCTGTACTACTTATTTATAGTTTTTATAATAATCAGTCATGCTGGGACTTCGTTTGGGTCTACAGCAGTGAAAACCAGGTAGGGTACACTCCACGAGAAGGGAGGGGGACCTCATGAAGGAAGTACTCATAGACCAACTCCAGAGCTCAGGATTTACTATAAGACCCAGTATGTCAGTTTCCCGCACTCACAAGTGAAAAAATCATGATATTAAGGAAAATACGGTGAGTTAGGATTCTGGAGATGGGACTCCCTCGGCGACTACCCCCCCGGCAGAGTTTAGAGGGCAAGGCTAAAGCCAGTCCGGCTCAGAAGACTACCCTAAAAGAGGTACAGAAGCATCTGCAAAAAAAAAAAAAGACACATTTCTCCCTGTCCCACCTTCATTGCTCAGCCCAGACATCATACGGGACAGTTTTCCCATGGTACAGAGAGAGGGAGCTTGGCGGCGTCTTATGACATCACCCTTGGAGCCACAGACCCCACAGTTTCCTCAGCAGGACCCTTCACGGGTTCATCATGGAGTAGGTTCTGAATCACCTGTGCGGGGTTTCTGGGGCTGTGGGTCTGTGCGGGAGCGAAGCTTATCAAATTTCTCCCGTGGTGCAACTGGTGGTTTCAGGCTGCTGACCTTGCGGTTTGTGTCTGCTGTGTTGCCCAGCTCCTTGAGCAGGAGCAATTCAAAGCAATCGGTAAAACCCCAGCATAAAAGGACTCAACCATTCCGAGAATTGCACTGAACACATGCGTAATTATGCAGATACCTAACTGACTTTCAGAGACAAAAATAGTGGGCAATCTTTCTTCCATTAACTCCCCAATATCTACCTGTAGTGGCTAGAGGAGGGGCCTGAGAGAGTAGACACTCCCCACCCCCTGCTGGAAGCTTCTAATTGCACACACACTGACGGTGGAGCTTGCGACAGTTGACCACAGCTTCATTTCTGTTCCAAAGTGGTGATTTTTGTCTGTGCATTTATGTTACTTCTGTTTTGGGTCCTTTTGATCACACATCTTTCCTGGACATGGGAGCTTTTTCTCCCTACATTACCCAAGAAGAGACAGCAATCGTGGCTATATAGCCAAGCTATAAGCATACCCCATAATATTCCATTACTGAGACAAGACCCAACAACACCTGCTAAGCATTACATGTGAAAAGGGAAGCGTATCTCCTGATCATATTCACCGGGAGACACCCAGTAAGCGTAACAACAAGTATTCACTAAAGCTTTAAAAAAAAAAACCAAACAACAAACAAAACACATAGCTATCATGATGAATTAAAAGCAACAATCTATATAGAAAAACATCAAAAAGCAGAAGAGAGTAGCTGATGCAAATGAACTGGAGACAGTCAAAGGCTTTATAGAGGAGGAAGAGCAGGTTTTGGATATACCTGAGAAAGAATTCAGAAGAATGCTATGGAAACAAATTCAAATGCTCCAAAAAGCAGTGGAGAAAAACAAGGAAGAAGTCAGGGAAGTATTACAGGAGCAATTAAATAAAATTGATACAACATTGGAAACAATTCAACACCTGCAAAAAGATGCCCAGATGATCAATAGTAAGATATCAGAAATGGACAATATGTTGAAAGGGGAAAGGAACAGGAGAAGAGAAGGAAGCCAGAACTAGCGAGCTGGAAGACAAATCTCTGAATACTGCTAAGATAGAAAAGCAAGCTGAAAAAAGAATTTAAAAAATCTGAAGAGAGTCTAAGGTTCATGTGAGATAACATGAAGAGGAACAACTTAAGAATTACAGGCATTCCAGAACAGAAAGAATAAGAGAAGTCCACATATAAAATAGTTGAAGAGCTTCTGGAAGAAAATTTCCCTAACATTTTGAAAGATGAGAAGATAAACGTTCAATAAACCAAATGTACCCCAGAAACGAAAGACCCCAAAATAAAGTCACCAAGAAATAATCAAGTTCTCCAAAATCAAAGACAAGGAAAGATTATTAAAAGCGGCCAGGGAGAAGAGAAATGTCACTTAAAAGGCAAGCAAATTAGATTAAGCTCTGACTATTCAGAACAAACCATGCAGGCAAGAAGTCAATGGGGACACATATACAAAGCCCTACAAG